TTTTAGCTGTTCTGGGATTTACCTTCACATTTCTAAAGAACTTATTTATACTATTCATGATTTTTAAGTATCCTATGCATTTTCATTATTCACCATTGTCTTCATTGCCCCAGTCACTTCCATCCCACAGCATGTTTGTGGCAAAAAAAAAAAAAAATGTTTTTTAAAGATTTTATCCATTTATTCATGAGAGACACAGAGACAGAGGGAAGCAGAGACACAGGCAGAGGGGGAAGCAGGCTCCCGGCATGAAGCCCGATGTGAGATTCAGTCCCCTCCACCACCACCACCCTGAGATCACACCCAGAGCCAAAGGCAGACGCTCAGCCACTGAGCCACTCAGGTGTCCCTGTAGCAAAAGTACTGATTAAATACCTTATGTTTCCCTTATAACTAAATATTTACCCAAGTTTCACCCCAAACACCCCATTTCTTGTACAATAATTTTTCCTAATGAAGAAAACTTAATTTGCCATTCTTTCTTTGTACTTAGCAGTTTTTTCCCCAGTTGTGTTATGGTCTCTGCCATTTGCCACAATAGTTTTCATGTGACTTCCCCCTTAGAATTTTGCTTTCATTATCTGCAATCCTGGTCCAATCTGGATTAGTAGTTGTTCCCTAGGCTTTCTTTCTACATACTTTTGGAACTATTTCCTGGGTTCTATGTCTAGACTTTTCCTTTTTTAACTGTTTCCTGGGTTCCATGTCTGTTTCTTTCTTTACACTCCTGTTTTTCTAGGACATCGTCTTCATTTATCTTCCTATGATTTTTGTCTTGATTTATGATCTTTTTAAAAGATCTTGAATGAAAAAATAAATAAATAAAAATAAAAGATCTTGAATGTCTGAAAATGTGTCCTGTTCACCTCACATTAAGTTGCTAGATTGGAATTCAAGGCTAAACATTTTTCTCACTACTACAGGCATTGCTTCATTGTCTTGAGAGTTCTTAAAGTTGTAACTAAGAAGCCAATACAGGATCTTCTCTTTTTTGTTATAAAATTTCAAGATGATAAATTGTGCTTATTAGTGTTGGTCTTTTTTTTTTTTTCTTTCTTTGATCCTGCTGGGTACTCTGGATCCCTTTCAATGTGAAGATTTGTATCATTCAGTTCTTTGGTAATTTTCTTCTTTCTTTATCAATCATGGCTGGAATCAGATAATTCCCCTGGTTAATTCTCCTATTTTAAAGCTGTATTTTCTACTCCTGGGAGGTTTCCTCAATTTATTATGCTTAGGTTGAATTTATTTCATTGTATCACAGTTTTTTAAAAATGTATCCCATTTTGAATGTCCATAAGCTCTCTATTATAGTCGTTACTTTCTTTTTCTTTTTTTTGTTTTAAGATTTTATTTATTCATGAGAGACAGAGAGAAGAGCCAGAGACACAGACAGAGGGGGAAGCAGGCTCCATGCAGGAAGCCCGATGTGGGACTCAATCCTGGGACTCTGGGATCATGCCCTGAACCAAAGGCAGACGATCAACCACTGAGCCACCCAGGCGTCCCTACTCCAGTTTCTTTCTTAAGCATCCTATTTCATGAATGGATGTCTTTTGATCTCTTTGAGGGTAGTAGTTAGTTCTTTTCCCCCCAAATGTTCTTTAAGTTCTTTTTTTGTTTTTTTTTTTTTTTCTGATCTTTCATATTGGAGGACACTCCATGATCCTTAACGTTTATCTGAAAGAAGCACTAAAACTGATTAGAAAGTCTTGGTGACTAGTAGACTTTGCTGTGGGGTGGGATATTCATGTGGCAAACTAGCTTGGTAATTGGGAGCAGTCCAAATGTCCAGAAATCTTCTGGTGTTTTATTTGGTGATCCAAGAATAAAATCCCTTAATTTTAAGGCAACATTGTAGAAATAGGACTAGGAAATAGATCTCAGGTCTCAACAGTGAGCCTATAGATATTGTTTTATTTTTTTTAATTTTTTTTAATTTATTTATTTATGATAGTCACAGAGAGAGAGAGAGAGAGAGGCAGAGACATAGGCAGAGGGAGAAGCAGGCTCCATGCACCGGGAGCCCAATATGGGATTCGATCCCGGGTCTCCAGGATCGTGCCCTGGGCCAAAGGCAGGCGCCAAACCGCTGCGCCACCCAGGGATCCCGATATTGTTTTATTTTTTACACTTAACCCCTGCAGAGATGATTGTATACTTGAGTGGTATGGTTTACCTATGAAATCCTATAAATACCTTCCTTTTGGGAGAATGAAGCTAGGGGAAGAATTTGGCCTTTTACTGCTCATTTTTAACCCTATGCATCTTTTCTTTTTAAGGTATCCTCTATCTTCAGGTCTTGGTTCTTTTTAGTGTCCTAAGGCCAAATGCTTTGCTTCTAGTTTCTACCTCTTCCTAAGGGCCTAGGATGTGGTTTTATTTTCTTTGCTTAATTATTGTGCCTTTCCTCCTCTTTTGGATTTTCCAAATATACATTGAAATCTCTTGCCTCCTTTGGCCCCCTTTAGATTCATTTACCACTGTCTTATCAGGGTTTTGGCAAGAGGGGCAAAATAGATGCTTTAAGGATGATCTGTCATTTTTTTAAGATTGTATTATTTATTCATGAGAGATCGAGGCAGAGACCTAGGCAGTGGGAGAAGCAGGCTTCCTATGGGGAGTCTGATCAAGACCTGAGCCAAAGGCAGGTGCTCAACCACTGAGCCACCCAGGTGCCCCATCTGTCATGTTTTTAACTGGAAATTCAAAATTGACCTTTTGATCAACTTTCTTTGATTTAATCATATCTCAGTATAGCTTACTTTAGTTTGTCATAAGTTGGATATTTTTAATGGAAGAATTTTAATTGATAATGCATCTGTTACATCTTTTTCATGTTTATTATGTAAGTCTTGCAATGTAGACCATATGTGTTGGTGTTTTTTCCTATCTTCATTCTCTTAACTGTTATTACCTGATACCATGTATTTAAAGTAAATATTATGAACAAAAGAAATTTCTTTTGTAGTAACTTTTAAGGTAGAAAGTTGTGATTTATCCAAGTTGGCAAGTTAATAAGGTTACGCGCCAAAAATAGATTAGGTATTTTTACCTTAAATGTTAACATTTGAATTTTTTTATCCCCCCCCCCCCCGCCCATTTAAGGACAAGGGTGGAATGTGGGGGGTGGTAGAGACAGAGAGGGGGATTCCTTGACCAACCCAGAGCCTAAGGCAGGGCACCATCTCACAATCCTGAGATCATGACCTGACCAGAAATCAAGAGCTGGATGCCTAACAGAGCCACCCAAGTGCCCCTAAATTTGAACGTTTTAACAAAACAAGTGTACCTTACCCAACTGGAATATCAAATAAGTGAAGTCCATCTGTTTGTAGTTGCTTTAATGCCAGTCCACTACCAGAACAAGAAGGGAACTTTTGACCTTTAAAGTAGGTAGGGAGAAGTTGAAGAGATTATTGTGATTTAAGTTTTTTGATACATAAAAGTAATGTCTTTATAGCAGCATTATTTGTAATAGCCTAAAATTGGAAACAGTTTGGGCAGCCCAGGTGGCTCAGCTGTTTAGTGCCACCTTCAGCCCAGGGTGTGGTCCTGGAGACCCGGGATCAAGTCCCATGTCAGGCTCCCTGCATGAAATGGAGCCTGCTTCTCCCTCTGCCTGTGTCCGTGCCTCCTCTCTCTCTCTGTGTGTGTGTGTGTGTCTCTCGTGAATGAATAAATAAATAAAATCTTAAAAAAATTGGAAACAGTTCAACATCCATCCACAGTAAAATGGGCAAATAAATTACACGTGTTGATACAGTGAAATTCCATTTAACCAATTAGAGTGAACTTACTACAGCAACATGCTACAATACAAATGAATCTCACAAATACAATATTGAGCAAATAAAACTATACATAAAAGAGAATATGTTGTATGATTCCATTCATATACACAGGGATATGTGTCCAAAAGTAGAGCACTTCTGTGAAACTTTGTAAGCTGAAATTAGTGAAGAAGCAATTACCATTAGTTTGTATGGGAAAACTTCGGAGCATTCCCAGACCCAAAAAATAACCTCTCTGAGTTTTATGATACGGTATGCCACATCCTGCTAAGGGATGCACAATATATATCGAGATAAAGTACAGAAACTCATAGACACAGTTTAGAGTTTGGGCAGCTTGATGCTGAGATGATGAATGTAGTCCTGGGGAAGGAGATTGGTGTTGTCACTTGCTACTCAGGGTACATACTTCCTGGTATGATGGCTTGCTACGGAACAAATGCTGAATTCTGTTTTTTCACTTTTCACCACCTTTTTATAAAAGCAAAAGTTCTCTTTGGATTTCTTTTTGGTGAAAGCAGGTACTAATGTAGGTCTTTTCTGGACTTTTGAAAAGTGGGAGGTACCTGTATACTTAAAAGCTCACATAAAACATAAAACTATTGTGACTCTTGGTGTAGGTTGAAGAATGTTTAGTAATGAAAAATTATTCTCACTTTTGAGAAAGTGAGATAGGAAAACAAATTATAGCATAAGATAGCGTGTCTTAAAAGTTTGTACAGAGCAGAAGCACGCAAGAAAAATGGTTAGTTCCCTACCATTACTAGTAATTGAAGGGGGAACAAACGGAGTTTCTAGGTACATACAAAAGGCCCGTGAAAACATATTGTGATGGGAGGGTGTGCAAATAGTATAGTATAGTTAATGTTCATGATATGAGTATTTAAGAACTAAGAATAGCAGACAAGAACAGATTAGTGTTGGATTCCATAGAGAGACAAAATTCAGGGAGGAAAAGAGCCCAGGCTTTGGAAACAACTTCAGTTCATCATCCCACTTTTACGAGTTTGCTTCATTTCATGGGCAGTGGGAAGCCTTTGGCCTTTAGACTTAGAGGGTTGTTGATAGTCTCATAATTCACCATGCCTGATGTAGTTAATTTGCATGGTTAATTCTTGATTTGAACTGATGATTAAGGAGGATTCTTAAGAATCGAAGGTTTGTGTGTTTTCCCAAAGGCAATTAATCAAAATTTGCATTTCACAGGAAATCTCAAGAATGGAGTCTAAACCTTCAAGGATTCCAAGAAGAATTTCTGTTCAACCCTCTAGCTCTGTAAGTGCTAGAATGATGTCTGGAAGCAGAGGAAATAGTTTAAATGATACCTATCACTCAAGAGATTCTTCATTTAGACTGGATTCTGAATATCAGGTAACATCTTAATTTGGGATATATGTACACAGTCTTTTTGAAAATCCCTGGGGCCACTTGGTTTTTAGATTTTAGGAAAGTAGTAAGTGTAGTTAATAAGACCCTCAGCTGGATCTGAGGCATCCTTTAATAAAACACATGAGTATATCTGCAGGAAAATGAATGACTCTTCACACCAAGAAACAAAAATTCAATATTTTCTGTCTTTGTGAACTTAAAAATTATGAAGGCAGCATTGTGGTCTCATATAAAATCATTATATACTGCAAAAAAAAAAAAACAAGAAAAATCATTATATACTGTATTTCAAAGACCTGGAAACTTAATTTAAAAACATATAAGTATTAGTTTATAAATTTGACTCAATGTGGATGACTTGGTCAGAGGATCAAAAACTGTACCCTTTCTTGAACATTATATGTATTCATCTGACTTCTCTGCATGTACGCAAAGCAGCGGTGGAATAATGATTGTTAAGTGTTTTTCTTTAGTGTGGCTTCTAAATATTTTGCTTTTAGTGGTGGGTGATTATTAAATTGACAAACTGTCTTTTGTGAAGATACATTACTAAGAGTCTTTTAGATGAATTTTGGGGCTTTACTCATGGTTAATGAGTTTGCAGATTCATAATCTACATAAGCTGCTCTTATGTAGTTAATTTTCCTTTGGATTGACAGCACTTGTTTTGAAATGGCTTTTTAGTGTTTTAAATATAATGATTGTAGTATAAAATAGTCTAAATCTCAGAAGGCATGATTTCTAGGTTTAATGCAATTCATATTGCTAATCTTTCAAATTTCAGTTTATTGCATTATTGGCTGAACAGCTAATGAAATCATATGTGGTGTGCAAAAGTCTAATGTTTAAGTAACTTGAATCAAAGAGAATCCTTTAGTGAAAATTTCCATTAAAGTATTTATAAATTTATATATCATGTGATGTATGACAGAATCTCATTTTAAACTATTTCTCCACCATAATCGTTTTATAAAATATTCAGAGGAAGACTAAACTAAAAATTTTCTCTAAAATGCATATATTACATATTTCCTCACTTTCTATGAACTACTTACTGAATCTCATTTTAAATATTGGTTGATAATTCATTTTTTTTACTCTGTTGCTAGACAAAAAGAACACTTGAGGTACAGAATCACATATTTGCATTCTGTAGAGAAGTTCTGGGTTAAATGAGTATGACTTATTAAGAGCACAGATTTTTTTTCTGTATTCATAAAAAATTTGTCTACAGTTCTTTTTCTAATTTTTTTTGTATAGCTTACTAGTGAGGAACAGACTCTGAAACCAGACTGTACTTCTAGATTGGAGTCCTCTTCCACTACTTGCTAGCTGTATGAACCTGGGCATGTTACTTTACACTTTTCTTTCTTATTTTCCATATCAGTCAAGTTAGATGAATTATTACACTGAATGAGAATAGTGCCTGCAACATGATAAACACTATATACATGTTAGCTGCTACATTTGTTTTTATTATCATTGTTGTAGTTAATTATATTAGGTCCTAAAAGTCTTAGCTATATATATAGAAAATTGGGATCCCTGGGTGGCGCAGCGGTTTGGCGCCTGCCTTTGGCCCAGGGCGCGATCCTGGAGACCCGGGATCGAATCCCACGTCGGGCTCCCGGTGCATGGAGCCTGCTTCTCCCTCTGCCTGTGTCTCTGCCTCTCTCTCTCTCTCTCTCTCTCTCTCTCTCTCTCTCTCTGTATGACTATCGTAAATTAAAAAAAAAAAAATTTTACTGACATTCACTTGAAATATAAGTATTTTCAAGACTGTATTCATTCCAGCATTTTATTAATGTCATAGATTACTGTGAAAGTGTTTTCATTGTAGAAGTTAAACAAATGCAAGCATAAAAAACGATTTGTGTCTTTTATTGATTCTTAAGATAAATCAGGGTTGGAGTTTTTCTTAATGTTTTCAATTTCTTTAAATGGCATCTTATTTTTTTTTTAATGGACTATAGGAATATTTCCAATCTTAACTACTACTACCCTGCTCTTTAGTTTTGGTTTAGAAACTGAAACTTCTGTGTTCTTGCACAAATTATTTTATATCTGTGTTTCTTCTGTAAAGTGGTGGTAATAGTAACTTCTCAACGTGGTTATTATTAAGGTTAATTGAAACAAATAACACACTGAAGCTCTTAAAATGACTGTGCCTGGGACTTGGAGTTCAAATGTTTCCATTTATAATGATGAGGATTGTAATTGCTATTGTTACCATTATTTCCTGGCTTTATATTGGTTTAAGTAGATTATGTCCTTTAAGATACAGTATATGTCATCAGGATATTTAAATAACATATTATGTATTTTATATAATATTTTCAAATTTTATTCAAACTCAATTTGCCAACATATAGCACCCAGTGTTAATCTCATCGAGTGTCCTCCTTAATGCTCGTCACCCTGTCCCCCTACCTACATCCCCATCTGCAGCCAACCCATGGTTTCCCAGAGTTAGGAGACTCTCATGGTTTGTCTTCCTCTCTAATTTTTCCCCACTCAGTTCCCCCCCTCCCCTTATGGTCCCTTTCACTATTTCTTATATTCCACATATGTGTGAAACCATATGATAATTGTCTTTCTCTATAATATTACTACTACTCACCAAATATATTTAATGAATAAGACCTTTAAATATCAAAGGGAATCCTTTTTTTTAACATTGCTGATGTTTTCTCACAATTGTTTGCAACATAACACTCCCCTTATCTCAGACACTTAGTAAAGCTAAAGCTTGAGAAAGAAGGGTCAAGACTAGGCTTGTGATAAATCAATTTCAGTTAAGGATTAAATAATAGGGAAATAACCTTATATAGTGCTTAACATTTTATAGAACATTTTTTGCTTTTAATTCTAAATAGGATAATACTTGTGTCATAGATAAGGATCTGAAATCTGGAAGTAGTTTCCCCTAGTCACATGATGAATATATAGTGTACCTAAGTCTAAGAATCCAAGACTTAGGGATAGCATTGTTTCTTTGGGAAAATATAGATTCTAAGTTCCAAACAATTGATTTTCTGAGGATCTTTTGGTTCTCAGCCATTTGTAAACTGGGATGCCTCTATTATTAACCTTGCTGATATTTCTGTTACTTCATCTTGAAGTTTTTGTTGCAATTTGAATGGTTCAAATGTACCATGATCATCTTATCTCTTTGTTAACAGTAAGTAGAATTTTAAATATTTTTAAAAGAAAATTTAATTCCTTTAATTCATATTGTTACAAGTGAAAATTTGAGAGCATTCTGTAAATATGTATTTATGTAAGTTTCATTTACTTTATGTAAGTTACCATTTGCATACTGTATTATCTCAAGAATTAAAAGAACCAGTGGTCATTTTTTTTTTTTTTTTTAAGATTTATTCATGAGAGACACGGAGACAGGGACAGAGACCTAGGCAGAGGGAGAAGCAGGCTCTCCCTGCGGGGAGACTGTTGAAGGACTCAACCCCAGGACCCCAGGATCACAACCTGAGGCAAAGGCATCAGGTGCTCAACCACTGAGCCACCCAGGCGTCCCAGAACCAATGAACTTCAATACATGTTTGTCTACTAATACAAAGTTAGCTGCCAAGGAACTAAATAGCATGCATGCGTACAAATAAATACAAGTAGCCAAGAAAATGAGAATAGTTTTTAAATGGAATCAGAAAAATAAATAAATAAAATGGAATCAGGACAAATATAGTTAAAATACTGAGAGTAGGTCAAAGTTGTAACAATGATAGGCGTTTATAAGCCATGCATTGTTTTATTGTTTTATTTTTATTTTTAAAGATTTATTTATTCATTCAGAGAGAGCGAGAGAGAGGCAGAGACACAGGCAGAGGGAGAAGCAGGCCCCATGCAGGAAGCCCGATGCGGGGCTCGATCCCGGGTCTCCAGGATCACACCCCAGGCTGCAGGCGGCACCAAACCGCTGTGCCACCGGGGCTGCCCCCATGCATTGTTTTAGAGCTAAACATAGACTCTTGTTTTGGGCATCAGGAACGTCACAGGGAAATCGAACCAGCTCTGTAAGGTGTTTTGTTCATAAGGAAAAGAAATCAATTCCTCAAAGAAAGTATTGCTTGCCATTTGGGTCTGAAAGGGGATAGTGTATGATCTACTAGACATCTTCAGTGTAGTATTCCTATTATTAGTATATTCCTAGTAGAAACTAGAAAATAAGACTTCAGATTAATGTGGCAGTGGATGCTGTAGCACACGAATACTTAGAAGAGGTCAGAGTTCCGTGTTGTTGCTTATGGCTAAGATAATTTTGGTCTGGAAAATTTTCGAGGCAGGAATTAGCAGTCCTCATAGTCATGGCATTGATCCATGGAATGAGCCAAAGAAGAATATTACATTCTGGACTTGTTTCTATTACCGTGTATTAAAGGATTTCCAAATGATTAAGCATTGTCCAGTAGATAGTATTGGTTGTATTTGCAGTCATTGTTAAGGTTCTTTAAGAATAGCTTTATTGAGATATCAGTCACATAACCATATGACTCACCCATTTAAAGTATACAGTTGGGCACCTGGGTGGCTCAGTTGGTTAAACATCTGCCTTTGGCTCAGGTCATGATCCTGAGGTCTTGAGTTTGAGCCCCACTTTAGGCTCTCTGCTCAATGGGGATCCTGCTTCTCCCTCTCCCTGCTACTCTGTCTACTTCTGTGTGCCCACACGCATGTACTCTCTGTCAAATAAATAAAACTCTTTAAAAAATAAAATAAAATATACAGTTTGGTGATTTTTAGTAATATTCACAGAGTTGCACAAATCATTGCTGCAGTGAATTTTAGAACCTTTTTATCATCTCAAGAAAAATCCCCAGATTCTTAAGCTATCACTGTACTGCGCCTCCATTTCAGCACCAAGCAACCAGTAGTCTACTTTCTGTCTCTATGTTTTTCTGTGTTGGACTTTTCATTGACATGAGTAGAATCATACACTGTGGTCTTTTGTATTAGCTTTTTTT